ATTTTTGATTTGTTATTTGCTTATCGAAAATATATAATAATATATGCATTGGTAGAGTCGGAGTTGTAGCTAAGATTTTGCTTTTTGGCGGATCTGTTATTGTTCAGCGCTGCTAATGGAGCATTGGTGCGCAGGGACGGAGCTAGAAATTCGGTTGAGGGAGGACAAAGAAGTATGGACGGATTCAGAATTTTTTTTCCAGTAAAGGCGAAACATTAAAACAAAAGAGTTAATTTAAAAAAATAAATAAATTACCTAAGAAATATAATTGTAAATATTTTTAAATATGGGTGAAAAATAAAACACATCAAAACTTTATAAAAATATTATAACAAAATACGAAACATAGTTAATTTGATAAAATAATTTGAATAGAAAATGCATTTAAAAAGTGACTGTACTGTGTTGAAATCATAGGGTACTATGTTGATGCAAAAGTATTTGAACTCTTAACCTTTACTATTGCCAAACGTACATGTGTTTTACCAATTAATCTAACTTATTTCTTATTGACATTTAACAATTGTTTTATACTAATACTAAAACATGTACTATATATACATATATACATACAAAGGTTATATATGGGGTGGAGGTAGGGGTAGGGTGAGGGGGCAGCTGCCCCCGCCCCCTTTGACTCCGTCTCTGTAGGTGGGTGTTATGTCTAAAAGGAATATGAGCCATCAAGTATTAAATTAGAGAGAAAATAATTTTATTATCACATTTCAAAAAAATAATTTAATTATCACAATTTTTACTTTTTGAAATGATGACGTGATATCTCAAAATTATCTAATCATGTTCCCTACCCAACATATAATTAATTGATTAATTGAATTTAGCTACTAAATGAATAGATAATTTATGATACTTTTTTCCGTTAAATTATATTATGAATAGTTCATAACAACACCTATTACTAGATTAATTGAATTCAACACACACATATATATAGACACACACACGAAAAATAATGTGAGATGTAAAAAGGAGAATAACTAAATTAAAAATTGTACACTTTTTTTTTTGGAAAAAAAAATTATACATAATATAAATAATTAGCGATGAGTTATAAGTACATTAGTATAGTGTTCGTATTGGCCACTCTTTTTATTGTATTAGTGTCAGCAAAGAATGCGCATCCACCTCTTGAAGACATTACTAAGGAGCTAGAAAAAAGGATAGACAATTGCTATAATGGGACAATCAAAGAGTATTTAGAATGGGGCGTATTTATGACACTAGATAAATCAGACCTTTTAAATAATTGTAAATCATATTGGAATTGTGAATTACTTAAGAAAGATTGTACGTGGAGAAATTATTTAGTGCCATCTAATTCTATTTGATGTAAGTTGTTATGTCTAGTACTTTTTGGACTAAATTAAAAATCTATAACACACGTATTATAGAGTAGTGACTGTGAGTATGGTACATTGTTTCACGCACATAAAAAAATTGTTCAACAAAATAAAATAAAAATAATTGTTGATAAAACTATCATCTTTATGATTTTTATATATATGTTCTATCATTCAACCTAAAGTAAGCATTTTTTTTTTTTTTTGCTCTTTCCTACAAATATAAATATACAATCATTTACTCTTGATGTGTATTACAATAAGATGATATGTAATACTCATTCAATGAATGACATTTCATATTTTGTCATTAACAACATTTTATCACGTTTCAAAATGTGTTACTCCACCACAGTTTCTTTGTTGTGGTAGTTATTCGGTTCTTATCAGATTTCACCACAACTTCTTTGTTGTGGTAGTTATTCGGTTCTTATCAGATTTTTAAATCTTAAATTATTCAAACCTTTATTATTCAATTGTGGACATTAATTTTCTTTTCAGTTTATACATGTATTAAATTTGGTCTAAGTTATACAAAATTTGTTGTACTTGTGTATGGACAACAAGCTAGCTTGGTCCTTTCTAAAACTCAGGGCAACATTACCACATGAACGAGTCCACAAGAATCAGATGCAAATAGGCATTGTCTCGTTTGGGTGGCAAGGCCAATGAGCAATGATCCGTGCTCGTTTAGTACTTGTGTTGTCTATGCATTATTAAAATTTACAAATAATTTACTTGTACGGCGTACTAAATCTGATATATACTTATATATATATATATATATATATATATATATATATATATATATATATATATATATATATATATATATATATATATATATATATATTTATTTATTTATCGATAACTAGTATTTTCACTCGTGTGATGCACGGAATGGACTTGTTATAATATTTTAAGAATATTTATATCGATATACAATTATATAAATTATAAGATCGAATATTATATAATGCAACTGAAGAATTGAGTTGGATTGATTGTATTTTCTGATGTTATCATTTGCTTGAATTCGAACAAATAATTGCTCAGTTAATAGCCAATGTGTAGATGTACGCATCCGGTGTTGAAACTTTAGAGATTTTATATATTAGTGTTTAGGATTTATATTAATCGGGCAAATTTGCTCATTGTCTAGCAACTCAGTTATAGAAATCATTTGTTATCCTAATTTATTTGTATGGAAGATATATTTTTTGCGTAGATATGTACCAATTTTATCATCTTCGCATAAAAAGAAAACATAATATTATTGGTTGGAATTACACATTATTGAAAACCTCTTTGTAGACGACATTGGTAGTAGCAACCAAATCTTGTCCATCATCGTTAGAGCTAACACCTTTATTAGGCCATCTGAATGGGTGACTCGATAAAAAGCCACATACAATTGGCCATTGCCCATTGCATGACTATTTTCTCTAGGAAATCAATGAGCTCAGATGCATATGTATCCCATATAATACCTATACTATAGTTAGTCCGTTTCCTTTTCGAAATAGTTAATCGGGGATCATATATAAATAAAATATAATTTAAAAAAAAAAAAAACAAAACAAAACAAAACTGCCAACCCACGAACCGTCTCTGGTCGGCAGTTCCTTTTTTTTTTTTTTTTTTTTTTTTTTTTTTTTTTTTGTGTGTGTGTGTGTTTAAATTTATATTTTAATTAATTAATTATTAAAAATTATTTTAAAAATCGGTAACTTAATTGCTACATCAGGTAAACAGGTCATTTTGGGCTAAATTGCATGTTTTTGTGTTTTTCATTAGCTCAATTGCAATTTTTTTAGTTCAACGCCCTAATTACACTTTGGTGTGCAGTTGAGTGGCATATTTGAACCTTATTCCTTAAAAAATGTATGCAATTAGGCCATTGAACCTGCTTATGTGGATGGTGAGTTGACATTTTTAATAATTTTTAATAATAAACTTTAAAAATAAAAATAAAAATAAATTAAAATAAAGGAAAACGTTGGTAGCCACCCCCTTTCCCCCTCCTCCTTCGTCTCCAACCGGAGGTGAAGAGCCTGTTTCGTCTCCGACCGGGGGACGAAGGAGGAGGGGGCGGGGAAGGGGGTGTCCGCCAGCCCCGGCGTTCTCTCTCTGTTTTTTTTTTTTTTTTTTTTTTAAATTTTATTAATTTTTAAATTTTATTATTTAAAATTATTTAAAATGCCTTTCAAAAAAAATATTAAAAATGACAACTCCTCATCCACATAAGCAAGCAACATGATGAAATAGGTGGTAACTTACTATCAGGTGAAATTGCATACATAAGGGGTGTTAAGTGGTCTAATTGTGCATTTTTTCGTTCAGTGGCCTAATTGCATTTTCATGTTACGTTCAGTGGCCAATTTGGACCTTATTCCTTCTATAAAATATAATATGTCAACATTTACAATTCAATATATTCAAGATCTTGAAATCTCTAGTTAATAGGAGAAAAGACTCTTGTCATTTCATCCACGTTCTCATGGGTACCCTAACCACTATCTTGTAGCTGTTGGGCATATGTTTTGAGAATTAAATCTAATATCTTACCATTGAAAAGTGACACTAATTGTTACATTGTTACATAAGTATAACAAAATAAAATTATGCATTCGCTACTAATTACTTCCTCCGTCCCATTTTATGCATTTGATTCGATTAACGAGACTTGACTGAAGTTATTTTAATTCAATTTTGCATAATATTAAGTTTAGTATTAATATACAGAATTTATATATTATACACTAAAAGTACTATTAAACAAGAAAAATCAAATTTAAAATTATGTAAAAAAAAAATTAAAGAAAAGAGAGTTAGTTTGACCCGCGAATAGTAAGTATGACAGATAAAATAAAACAGAGAGAATATAAATTTTGTTATAATGGTAAGCTCTTGATCTAATAGTTAAATAATTAATTATTAAATTTGTAAACAATAATTAAACAATGCCAACTAAAATACTGCTAAAGACATTGAGTTTAGTGGCAATAGTGCCCAATCCTCTCTTAAAAGTTATAAGCACGTTGATGTGGTATTCTTACAAAATATTGTTTTCTCTTCACTAGCATCGGCAACAAATAATTGATCCTTTCTATAAGTTCTCTTCCGATTATAGTAATTAAGGAGTACATGGTAGATTGGTGGTTACTGTAAATTATATCAAAATCAATATATATATATATATATATATATATATATATATATATATATATATATATATATATATATATATATATATATATATATATATATCACTTTGTAAAAAAATTATTTGAACTGTAAATTATACAAGAAAGATAGGGAATATTTAATGTTACTGCCAACACTTTGACTATGGCAGATTGGTAGTTACTAGTTAGTAGAGCTAGGTTGTCATGCATAGCTTAGCCACATGTTATGTTTTATTTGAATTTAATTTTAATTTTTAATTCAATTTCTTCGCATGCATTATTATCAATTGCTTGATTATCAAAGTGCATTTGAGTTGAATTGCAAAAAATTTAAGTAATTTAATTTTTTTTTTTTAAAAGAAGAACGACGAGTAATTCATAAAATTCGAACCCAAAAAAAAAAAAAAAAAAAAAAAAAAAAATCAATCATGATAGAGTATTATGAATGAAAAGTGTATAGCTTGTAAACCCATATAATTACACAATCCAACTTAATTAAGAGTCTTGTGAAATATATATAATATCATACATGCTATTATACTTTAATAGTTAAAATAACAATATAACATAATATTTTACTATATTTAGATAATTGGCAACATATGTATTCCAGAGTCAGTGCAATTTTTTGATGTGTTGGAGATGTCAATGATATTAATTGTACACCGATCATAAAACCAATCGCCAAAAGCCTCTGGATGTGCCTGCAAAATGTAACAGTTCACTTTGTTTATAAGAAACGTTTTTGTATATTAACTTCGTTTGCTTGTTTTTTTTTGTTTTTGTTTTTTTGTTTTTGTTTTTGTTTTTGTTTTTTTTTTTTTTTTTTTGAGTGCAAAAGAGTGGACCTGATGGAGGCATATTAATCATCACTATTTTAGTAATTCTCAACCGTTATTTATCAAAATAGATGGATGATATTAATCATCATCACTATTATATTTTAGTTGGGAGAATGCATAAACAAATTATTATTACCTTGTTGCCATTTATAGTGTTGGACTTGGAGGAACCCAACCACCCTCAATCAAATCATGGGCAATGCAACTTGTCACCCATATTCCCCTAGAGGATGGATTACCCCTTGGTAATGCGTCCAGAAATTCTAATCTCAACGCTGAGATAAATAAGTAGTTTAGTAAGTCATGAAGTTATATAAATTAAGGTTATATGATACAAAATAATTAATCTAACTAAAAACAATTTTAAGACACTAACCTTCAATTTCATTTGCCTCAACCAAGGTGCAATTCTGATACACGAGACATACATGGTGTTTGGGAGATAGGTTATACTTAACCTAAGATTAGATTAAAAGAAAGAGACCAGGTTAATTAATAAGCAAATAATTATAAACTGTCCATATAAAACATTTGACCAAAACTAGGATAAAGTTTACGAAGGTAGGATAATAGGACATTATTCATATATCAAAAATATTTTTATTGTTATTGTAATGACTAACCTGGATTTGATCAAAAGAAGACATAGCGATAAATAATGGAGTCTTAATGTTTGACAATATATACTGGGGGAAAAAGCACTGTAAATACAATAAGTCAACATTAATATTGGCAGCATAAAACATATCTAAACTAGTATTGGCAGCATATATATATATATATATATATATATATATATATATATATATATATATATATATATATATATATATATATATAGGTTCTTACCAGACTTGGTTTGAGGAATATATCTGTGCAGAATGAGGGTAGCATTTGGCCTGATCCCTGTAACCCATATTAATAATTCAAGTTTAGATCAACACAATTTTGCGACTAGAGATGAAATTATTAAAATTAGACGACAAAAATTTACAGTATTACATGCAAAGTAATCAATCTTTCGAAGACAATGTCGAATTGTTTCTCCCCCCTCAAATGATCCCTGTCGTAGGATTATACAAAGTTTGGTTAACTAATTGCATATAAATTAAGTTGTAGGTATATATGCTAACAATTCAAGGATATAGAATTAGCTAGATTTAAGTATCACGTACTCGTGTAAAAAATATGCTGAGTCAGAGAAACATTTAACTTTTGTTCCAGTTGGCAAAAGTGATTGGAACCGATCACAATGCAAAATAACAGCTAAGCCACCCGCCGAGCTTCCAGAAAGAATTGCCTACCAAAAAATAAATCATTAATATTGCGAATAATGTAATTATGAATACATGCTTGATTATTTGCAACTTAATAAAAAGTACAAATTATATAGTATACACGTATATAAAAGGTAAAATAAACAAACATATATACAATATTATATTCAAGTATGTGACACATACATTTGTGGCATTTTTCATTCCCCTTTTTAGCAAGTCTTCCATTACCACATTAAAGATTCTCCCTCCTCTATAAGTTATATTTGTAGCCTGAAAGAAGGTTGAAAATCAAATTAGTGGAGAACATTAAAATGAATTATAAATTATAACCTACCTTGAATTAGGCAGGGCAATGCTATTTAGAATAAGAATTGATTTTTAATCATTACACTGACTAATCATTATTTTAAACATTAATTATACTTTAAGATACTTACGGGGTTGACAGTATCAACATCTCCGGTGTAGGAAGACCCATCACAGTAATGAATAAAAACTCTATTCCAACTATAGAAATCTGAAATATTTAATTCAATTTGAAAAGGAAATCATAAGTTAAATAAACTAATGGATTGATATTAAAAGAAAAGTTAATTAATAAATACATACCCGGATTTGTCTTAGAATCTTTGCTCAAAATATTATCAAATTCCATACTCTCATTTAAAAACTTTGAAGAACCAAGATTTTTTGTAGATCGATCAACGCATTCATCTACGGTTGAGCACCACCCTCCTCCCTTTCAATCATGTTAAAATGTAATCATTTAAAAGATTGTTATCTAAATTAAATCATAAAAGAGTTTAATTATGTAATTACATACCTCTAGATAAATTACCCAGTTATTTATTCCGTCCCCCTCACCCTGGTCAAGAAAATATGCAGGTGGAGTTCCATCCAGACAGACTACATTTATACATAAAAAGTTCAACAAATTAATAGTCTTTTTTAAATTTATTTTATTATTATAAATTTAAAGAAAATAAATGATATTTAGAACTTACGGGCTCCCTTGTCATTTATGAGACGTGTGATTGAAACATTCAGAGTAGGGCCAGTCATGCAAGCTGAATTTATTTTTATGTTCACGCAAATGAACATAAAAAACAAGCATACCAAAGTTTTTGTTTGCTCCATTCTAAAAATCAAAAGAAAATATGTCAGCTAGTAGTCAACGTAACAGTCTTTCAAAAATGTTATAGATAAAACAAAAAAGAAAAAAATTATTGTTATTTTCCATGTAGCAAATATTAAGTGGATCCATTTTAAATATGAACAAAATATTAAAAATCAAATTCAAAAGAAAATAAAGAATTTTCCGCAAGAGAACCAAAAAAGAATACACACAGCTTTGAGAAATTGAACACGCATAAATAACTATGAAAAATTATGTCAACTTCATGTAGATATATGATAAAAATAAGTGTATTACCTCTTTCCTTTCGTAGATACGCAAATGCAAGAAAACACCAATCTTGAAATTTAGATCAAAGAGTTATGCTTTTTTAGAGAGATGGAGAGAGTTGAGGAGGAATGATAGTAATGTGAAGAGAAGTGAATGAAGAAGGCAAGCTATATATAGAGTGAGAATGTCAATGTCTATACACTGTGAATTGAGCTAATTAATATAGCCAAGGCCGAAGGGCCTAGCTTACTCCTAGAGAAGAATGAAGATTATAACAACAATAATTGAATTTATTTTTTTCCCTAACGTCAATGTTATGAGAAAAAATGTCACATGCTATGCTTGTATAAAGTAAATGAGGTGGGAACTTGAAGGGTGTGGTTGAGTGGAAGTGACTCATTCATTTTTAACCAAAGGTTAAGGGTTCAATTCTTGGCTTTGGGAATGGAGTAACCTTAAATCTCTAGGCTAGAAAATTATGAGTTTGATTTTTGTCAACACTTTCTCGATCAAATATGTTGCACTACAAAATTTTTCTAGTGCGCCTTACCTATCACGTGTAATTTGCTAGTTATTACATAAAAGTGAAAGTTTTTACCTATACACATATTCTAATAGTGGTTGTAAATTTTCCTTCTTTCTCAAAAAAACAAAAAGTAAAATTCAATTATCTTTGATAATTAATGTAGCCAAGGCGAAAGGGCCTAACTTTATCATAGAGAAGAATGAAGACTATATGAACAATTGATTTTATTATTTTTCCAAATATCAATGTTATGAGAAGAAAAAAAAAAGTGTCTTATGCTTGTATTTAATGGGTGAGATGGGAGTTTGTCAATTGTCAAAAATGGATAATAAACATTCTCCAATGTTACAAATTTCGTCCCTAATATTTTATTAATAAAGAAATGAAATTTATAACATTAATTATAGCTTACGGACAGAAAGCGAGTATGACCAATAATTATGGATGAATTACAATTAGACTATAATTTAAGGATAAAAAGTTGTAAAAACTGTTTACCAAAATGAAAAAATGGAGAATTTTTCAGAAAAATAGAAAATTAGAGGAGTGAAAAAATAAAAAATAAAAAACTTGTTTAGCAATTAAATTTATATCTCCAATTTAAGGAAAAAATGACACTTTTTCCCCCTGAGTTATATACTTATAGTTATTTTTCCCCCTCAATTATTTAGGTAAGCACATTAGCTCCCTCAATTATTCTAAAAGTGGTGGTTTTTCCCCCTGATATATTAAATTGACATTTCTACCCTTAAAGTAAACATTTTATTTATTTTACTTCTCCAACAATTATCGCGTATACGTAGGGATGACCACGCTTCAGATCAAACTGAACCGGACACTATAACAATTGAATTAAAAGTTTCCGGTTATGATTCAGATCTAGAACCTAATATTTGAATTTCAATTTATTAAAATTATGAATAAAAAAAATTGGATCTTGAACCGTGAATCAGCGGTTCTGGATCCGGTTCGCAATTTTGAACCGTCTTTATTTTAAAATTTTATTTTTTATTTTAAATAGTCTAAATTCAACAATAAATATATTTTATTTTTTCAGTTCGGTACATGAATCGTCCGTTCCGGTTCGCGATTTTAATAAACTCTAAATATCGAGTTTCGATTCTAAATTGTAATTGGAATATTTCGGTTTGGTTGCTATAGTGTTTGTTTGGTTTGAACCAAATTATTGTCATAATTTGTTGGAGAAGGAAAATAAATGAAATATTTATTTTAAATATTTATTTTAAGGGTAAATATGTCCATTTAACATTTCAGGGAGAAAAACAGCCACTTGAATAATTCAGGGGGAGAAAGTGTTATAAGTATATAACTTAAGGGGAAGAAGTGCCATTTTCCCCCAATTTAATTTTCCACCTACCATCTTTCATTTATGTATGATTTTAGAGATTTCAAAATCAGTATTCCCCATTTGGAGAAATGGAAACTAGCGGGTGAACAGTGGCACAGTGCTATGTTGGTCTTTACCTTGATTCTTGAGCGAGTTCTGATCTTTACCTTTCTTCCCCATTCTTCTTTTTTTTTTTTTTTTCTCTTTCGTGTTTTTTACCTTTCTCCCCATACTTCTTTCTTCTCTTTCGTGTGTTTTACCTTTCTCCCCATACTTCTTTTCTTCTTTGGTGTTTTTTACCTTTCTTCCCCATTCTTCTTTCTTTCTTTCGTGTTTTTTACCTTTCTTCCCCACTCTTCTTCCTGTTACCTTTCAACACTTATTATTATTGTTATTTTGAATTTGAATATTATTCACTACTCTATTACAATACAGTATCTATTCATAGACTCGATCCCACAACCTCCCTTATAAGAGAACAATTTGATTTCATTGGACTACAAGGTCCTTGACATTATTATTATTATTATTATTATTATTATTATTATTATTATTATTATTATTATTATTATCTTTGTCGTAGAAATGTACAAATGCTATCTATGTCGGAGAAAATTAAAGAAATGAAAAACTGGAGGAATAGAAAAATGAAAAATTGAAGAAATGGAGAAGGTAAATTGAAAAAATAAAAAAATAAAAAAAAAATAGAGAAATAAAGTAAATGGACCACGTAATTTTTTCAATCTATCAATTGATTTTATTATTTTTCCAAACATCAATGTCATGAGAAAAATGTCACATGTGCTTGTATTTATTAGGCGAGGTGAGTGTTTGTCAATTGTCAAAAATGGCTAAATGAGCAAAAGGGTGTAAGGATATTAACGCATCTTTGCTAAAAAAAAAAAAAAGAAGAAGATATTAACACATCAATCATGACTTCAAAAGTAGTAAGTCCATCCTCCAAAAAATTAAGTTTATAATTATATTTTTCTTGTTGCAATCTCACTCAAATTGGTCTTCAGATTGTTGACTTGGTAATCACATAGTTATAAGTTTGACTCATATTGAGAGCGATCTATTAGTTATTTGAGTCGGCAGAGTTTACTTAGTACATATATATACACATATTCTCGAGTAGTACATATCTATCTTCACTCATTTAGTAGGGATGTCTATGTCTATACTTCTATAAATTGATCGAGCTATAAGTCTCTATCAGTTAGGATGGACCAAATTCACAAATTTAATGCATATACTATATCTAAGAAACATTGTTATGGAAGAATGGAATATTTAATAATTTTCTTTTATCTCAATTCATTTATTAGCCATTTTACTAAAAAAATTTATGGAAGTATATCTTCCGAAATTAGGCTTATTATCCTTTATAGATCGAGTTAGGTAACTACATATGTCAAACCTAAACACCATTTTAAGTTTGCTTCCAAATGAGTCAAATCAACATTAATTATTTACTTGGTATTAGTTTGAAAATTGCCAATAGTTTTTTTTTTTTTTTAATGCTACTAATTCCATTAAAACATACTTTCTCAATCTAATGGGACACAAAGAGTTAACAACACATCTACTCAAACTTGATCTCATGACCTTCCGTATAGGAGAGATCACTACATGACATCTAAGCACAAGGTGCTTGGCTTGCCAATAGTTATTATTATGTAAAATTAAGTTAATAGTTTCTTTGAAAACTAAATATCAAATATAATTGATCGTAAAAGTATTTGAACTAAATTAATAATAATTTATTCAAAATCAAGTTATTTAATTTGTTCCAAAGTTTAAATTAATTATACGAACAATTTAAATTATATAGGTTTCTCCAAAATCATTTAAGTAGTATAAATTACTTCATATACATACTATTTTCGTTCAAGATATATAATAAACAATTCATCATGCATATTATTGATCTTTGTAAATATAACCGTAAAGGAATTATGAAATTATAGAGTGAATATTTTGAAAATAGATATGCATGTTAGTTGTACTAATAGTACAGTTTAATGTTTATGTGCATTAGTATTAAAGATTTATGAACATACATATAAAACAAATATTATGAATATAGTAAATGATAAATGTTACTAATTAAGATGTGCATATGTAGTGTAATGTTGATGTACATTATTTAAGCTTTGTTTTTATGAAAATGTAAAAGAAACAATTTTTTTTTTGGTTGTATTAGAAGAATTAATTGCACATATTTTAATATAATTAACTAATAATTATTATGTTAAGTAATTTAACAATTACACGAATATTAGTATACTTATAATTAAACATGGATTATTGAATTTATTTTTATAATAATTACAATTAATTCATTCATGGAGGAGGATGAGGAAAAAAGTAAATGTCATTCTTAAAATTTTTCATAACATTATTGTTCAAAAGTCAAATTCATAATCAAACTCATAAAAATTAGTATTACCAAAATGACATTAGACTTGGACCTTTTGCAATGACAAATAATCAAAACATAACAAATGGAAAATCGAGTTCAAAACCAAATTCATCAATTGTCTTAATCTCAAAATCAATGGTACATTTCAAGCCTTCTCTTAATTGCATAATTAAACAAAACATATTTTAATTATTATTTGGTCCAAATATATATCATGTTGCAAAAACATTATATGAAAATTTGAATATTCTAAATAAAATTAAGATATCATCAAATTCAATCAACATCACTCTTAATAATTATATTGTAAAATTGTCTTAGAGAGAGCGAACGAGCAAGTAGAACATGATTGTCGTACTAGAAAATTGTGAGTTAGATTTTTGTCCACACACTTTTGATTAAGCCAGTTGTACTATAATGTTTTCCTAGTACAACTAACTGGCCTGTCATGTGTGATTTGCATGCTATTACAAAGGAGTTAAATTTAATCATACACACCTTTTGGTGGTGTTCCCTTTGATCACGTTTGCCAGAACAATATAGCTTAGTAAAAAAATTATATGGTTGGTAATCCATTTATCCTGAAGAATAACACAACCATGCTCTTGACACCCTTGAAATGTATCAAATCAGTTTTAAAGAAAGTCTGTGCTCCTAATTAACAGACATTGGATTTGATTTTTTCCACGAAAATAAAAAATTTCTACAATATCATAGAATATTTATGAGTGTATATTTAATTATTTATTTTCAATTTTTTTTCTTATCGAAAATATAATAATATATGCATTGGTAGAGTCGGAGTTGTTGTAGCTAAGATTTTGCTTCTTGGCGGATCTGTTATTGTTCCGCGCCGCTAATGGAGCATTGGTGGGCGGAGCCAAAAATTCGGTTGAGGGGGGCGAAGAAGTATGGACGGATTCAAAAAAAATGTTCCAGTAAAGGCGAAACATTAAACAAAAGAGATAATTTAAAAAAATAAATAAATTACCTAAGAAATATAGTTATAAATATTGTTAAATATGGGTGAAAAAAATAAAACACATCGAAACTTTATAAAAATATTTATAACAAAATATGAAACATAATTAATTTGATAAAATAATTTGAATAGAAAATACATTATAAATTACACATCTCATTATTAATATAAAAGAATGCGTGTGTGTTAAATATTAAAAAACTATTAAAAACGTGACTGTGTTGAAACCATAGGGAACTATGTTAATGCAAAAAGATTTGAACCCTTAACCTTTACTATTACCAAACATGTGTTTTACCAACTAATCTAACTCATTTCTTATTAACATTTAATAGTTTTTTTTTTTATACTAACAATAAAACATGTACTATATATACATATATACATACAAATGTTATTTATGGGATGGAGGTGGAGGTAGGGTGAGGGAGGCAGCTGCCCCCCGCCCCCTTTGGCTCCGTCTCTGTTGGTGGGTGTTATGTCTAAAAGGAATGTGAGCCTTAAAGTATTAAATTAGAGAGAAAATAAATTAATTATCACGTTTCAAAAAAATAATTTAATTATCACAATTTTTACTTTTTGAAATGATGACGTGATATCTCAAAGTTATCTAATCATGTTGCCTACCCAACATATAATTAATTTATTAATGAGTTAATCAACGATTTGGTCCCTCAATTATTGCCAAACTGTGAATGTAGTCCCCTAATTCCTTAATCATCGATTTAGTCCCCGAAAATAATTCTTTTTAGTCATTTTAGTCCATCCATCCATTTTCCGGCAACACTCCGGTTATACCTCCGATTTACCAGGGTCAATTTTGTCATTTCATTTGTTTATTCACTTCCTACTTGCTTAACCCACACCGACGCTTTTTGAGGAGCTAACTCGCCGGCCGGGAGGGCCTCCGCCGCTTGTCAGGCTCACAGTCATCGACAATCACCACTTCACAAGTACACCATTTCTGGTTTCTCCACCAGGCTATGACTTCTTCAAATACCTTCTTGGTTATGCAAAGAGGATTAACATCAACCTGCAGATCAACAAGCTTGAAAATTTCCCACTTCAGAACCTAAATTCCCAGACCTTAAACTCCTCCCCAGATGAGATCTTGATCATTTCTGCCCAGTTCAGGCTCCACAACCTGAGCCACCACTCCCCAGATGACAGGTCAGAGTTCTTGAGAGGGCTGAGGAATTTAGGTCCAAAAGGCGTGGTTTTGAGCGAGAACAATGCAGATTGTAGCTGCAGCCATTGCGGGGACTTCGCCAATGGATTATCCAGGAGGGTGGAGTACTTGTGGATGGAAGGAGAAGCAGTAAAGGCATTGACAAATGTGGGAGAAATGAATGAGTGTAAAGAGAAATGGTGCCAGAGAATGATGAGTGTTGGGTTTGTAGGCCAAGCATTTCGAGAAGATGCAATCGACACAGCACGAGCGTGGTTGCCAGAGTGTGGTTCCATGGAAGAGAAAGATGCCGACGGGCTAGTGAGAAGGAAAATATTGAGTAAGAAGAAGATATGGCTAGTGAGCCATGGCGACGGGCGGCGGCGGAGCGGCGCAGTGGATGCTTCTCTGGTTCGGCACCGCCAACATCGCCGTGTGATCCAAGAAATCTTTGAGCTCCACAGTCGACTATAAAACCGTTCTCAGATCGTCGGCGCGAGAGAATCCCAAGTTTCCGGCTCTCCTCACGGCGTAGATGTAGAAAGTTATGCAGCCCTTTCTGAACTTGAACCGCACCATTTCGCAGCCGATCAGCCCTTTAATTAGCTTCTTGTGCACCTTCCCGAGTGGAATATCCGGTGGCCACTGGCGGTCCACGGCGGCCTTCATGGATTCCATCCCTACACTATATATGATGGAAGGAGAAGCAGCAAAGGCATTGGCAAATGTGGGAGAAATGAATGAGTGTAAAGAGAAATGGTGACAGAGAATGATGAGTGTTGGGTTTGTAGGCCAAGCATTTGGAGAAGATGCAATCGACACAGCGCGAGCGTGGTTGCCGGAGTGTGGTTCCATAGAAGAGAAAGATGCCGAACTCAAAGTGTGGGTTAAGCAAGTAGGAAGTGAATAAACAAATGAATTGACAAAATTGACCCTGGTAAATCGGAGGTCTAATCGGAGTGTTGCCGGAAAACGGACGGAGGGACTAAAATTACTAAAAAAAATTATTTTCGGGGACTAAATCGATGATTAAGAAATTAGAGGACTACATTCACAGTTTGACAATAATTGAGGGACCAAATCATTGATTAACTCTTGATTAATTGAATTTAGCTACTAAATGAATAGATAATTTATGATACTTTTTTCCGTTAAATTATATTATGAATAGTTCATAACAACACCTATTACTAGATTAATTGAATTCAACACACACACATATATATAGACACACACGAAAAATAATGTGAGATGTAAAAAGGAGAATAACTAAATTAAAAATTGTACACTAGAAAACATAATATAAATAATTAGCGATGAGTTATAAGTACATTAGTATAGTGTTCGTATTGGCCACTCTTTTTATTGTATTAGAGCCAACAAAGAGTGCACCTCCACCTCTTGAAGACATTACTAAGGAGCTAGAGAAAAGAATAGACAATTGCTATAATGGGACAATCAAAGAGTATTTAGAATGGGGCGGATTTATGGTACAAACTAAATCAGACCTTTTAAATAATTGTAGATCATATTGGAATTGTGAATTACTTAAGAAAGATTGTACGTGGAGAAATTATTTAGTGCCACCTAATTCTATTTGATGTAAGTTGCTATGTCTAGTTACTTTTTGGACTAAATTAAAAATTTATAACACACGTATTATAGAGTAGTGACTGTGAGTATGGTACATTATTTCACACAAACAAAAAAATATGTTCAACAAAATAAAATAAAGATAGTTGTTGATAAAACTATCATCTTTATGATTTTTATATTTTTTCTCATTCAACCTAAAGTAAGCATTTTTTTTTCTTTTCCTACAAATATAAATTCACAAACATTTACTCTTGATGCATGTGTATTACGTACAATACAATAAGATTATATCTAATATTTATTCAATGAATGGTATTTCATATTTTGTCACTAACAACATTTTGCCATGTTTCAAAGTGTTTTAATTTTTTGTTCGTTGATATTTTTGGCTCCACCCCAGCTTCTTTGTTGTAGTTATTCGGTTCCTATCAGATTTTCAAATCTTAAATTATTCAAATCTTTATTATTCATTTGTGGACATTAATTTTCTTTTTCAGTTTATACATGTATTAAATTTTGTCAAGTTATACGAAATTTGTTGCACTTGTGTATGGGCAACAAGCTAGCTTGGTCCTTTGTAAAACTCAGGGCAACCTTACCACATGAACGAGCCCATAAGAATTATCAGATGAGCAATGATCCGTGCTCGTTTAGTACTTGTGTCGTCTATGCATTATTAAAATTTAATTACAAATAATCCTTTCTATAAGTTCTCTTCAGATTATATTAAGGAGTACATGTTTTAATTCGGATTAAGTTATATATATTTATACCAGAAAGATAAGGAGTATTTAATGTTACTGCCAACAATTTTGACTATGGTAGATTGGTAGTTAGTAGAGCTAGGTTGTCAACTTGTCATCTTAGCTCAGCCACATGTTATGTTTTAAGTTATTTGAATTTAATTTTAATTTAATTTTTAATTCGATTTCTTCACATTATTATCAATTGCTCATTTGCTTGATTATCAAAGAGCATTTGAGTTGAATTGCAAAAAATAAAGTAATTTAAATTTTTTAAAAAGAAAAACGACGAGTAATTCATAAAATTCGAACCAAAAAAAAAAAAAAAAAGAAAAAGAAAAATCAACAATGACAAAGTATGATGAAAGAAAAGTGCATAGCTTGTAAACCCATATAATTACAAAATGCAACTTAATTAAGAGTCATAATATCATACATGCTATTATACTTTAATAGTTAAAATAACAATATAATGTAATATTTGACTATATATATTTAGATAATTGGCAACATATGTATTCCGGAGTCGGTGCAATTTTTTGATGTGTTGGAGATGTCAATGATATTAATTGCACACCGATCATAAAACCAATCGCCAAAAGCCTCTGGATGTGCCTGCAAAATGTAACATATTTTAGCAATTCTTAACCGTTATTTATGAAAATAGATGATGATATTAATCATCATCACTATTTTAGTAATTGGGAGAATGCATAAACACATTATTATTACCTTGTTGCCATTTATAGTGTTGGACTTGGGAGGAATCCAACCACCCTCAATCAAATCATGGCCAATGCAACTTGTCACCCATATTCCCATGGAGGATGGATTACCCCTTGATAATGCGTCCAGAAATTCTAATCTTAAAGCTGAGATAGATAAATAAAATTTTAAAGTAGTTTAGTAATCTAGTCATGGAGTTATATAAATTAAGGTTATATGACACAAAAATAATTAATTATCTAACTAATTTTTTTTTTTTGCTAAATGATTAATTGTGAAGATATATTAAGACACTAACCTTCAATTTCATTTGCCTCAACCAAGGTGCAATTCTGATACACGAGACATACATGGTGTTTGGGAGATAGGTTATACTTCACCTAAGATTAGATTAAAAGAAAGAGGCCAGGTTAATTAATAAGCAAATAATTATAAACTTTCCATATAAAACATTTTACAAAAACTAAGATAAAGTTTAGGAAGGTAGGATAATAGGACATTATTCATCAAAAATATTTTTGTTGTTGTTATTGTAATGACTAACCTGGATTTGATCAAAAGAAGACATAGCGATAAATAATGGAGTCTTAATGTTTGACAATATATACTGGGGGGAAAAAGCACTATAAATACAATAAGTCAACATTAATATTGGCAGCATAAAACATATCTAAACTAGTGTTGGCAGTGTGTGTGTGTATATATATATATATATATATATATATATATATATATATATATATATATATATATATATATAGAGAGAGAGAGAGAGAGAGGTTCTTACCAGACTTGGTTTGATGAATATATCTGTGCAGAATGAGGGTAGCATTTGGCCTGATCCCTGTAAGTTGTAACCCATATTAATAATTCAAGTTCAGATCAACACAATTTTGTGAGTAGAGATGAAACTAATAAAATTAGATGACAAAATTTACAGTATTACATGCAAAGTAATCAATCTTTCAAAGACAATGTCGAATTGTTTCTCCCCCCTCAAATGATCCCTGTCGTAGGATTATACAAAGTTTGGTTAACTAATTGCACATAAATTAAGTTGTAGGTATATATGCTAACAATTCAAGGATATAGAATTAGCTAGATTTAAGCGTCACGTACTCGTGTATAAAATATGCTGAGTCAGAGAAACATTTAACTTTTGCTCCAGTTGGCAAAAGTGATTGGAACCGATCACAATGCAAAACAACAGCTAAGCCACCCGCCGAGCTTCCAGAAAGAATTGCCTATAAAAAAAATCAATTATTAATATTGCGAATAATTTAGTTATGAATGCATGTTTTTTTTTTTTTTGAAAGGAAAGAACATGTTTGATTATTTGCACCTTAAAAAGTACGAAGTATATAGTATACACGTATATAAAAAGTATATATACAATATTATATTCAAGTATGTGACACATACATTTGTGGCATTTTTCATTCCCCTTTTTAGCAAGTCTTCCATTACCACATTAAAGATTCTTCCTCCTCTATAAGTTATATTTGTAGCCTGAAAGAAGGTTAAAAATCAAATAAGTGGAGAACATTAAAATGAATTATAAATTAAAACCTACCTTGAATTAGACTGGGCAATGCTACTTAGAATAAGAATTGATTTTTAATCATTACACTGACTAATCATTATTTAGACATTAACTGTACTTTAAGATACTTACGGGATTGACAGTATCAACATCTCCGGTGTAGGAAGACCCATCACAGTAGTGAATATAAACTCTATTCCAACTATAGAAATCTGAAATATTTAATTCAATTTGAAAAGAAAATCATAAGTTAAATAAACTAATGGATTGATTGATATTAAAAGAAAAGTTAATTAATTACATACCTGGATTTGTCTTAGAATCTTTGCTCAAAATATTAGCAAATTGCAAACTCTCCTTTAAATACTTTGAAGAACCAAGGTTTTGTTTAGATCGATAAACGCATTCCTCCACGGTTGAGCACCACCCTCCCCCCTTCGAATCATGTTAAAATGTAATCATTTAAAAGATTGTTGTCTAAATCATAAAAGAGTTTAATTACCTAATAATTACATACCTCTAGATAAATTACCCAGTTATTTATTCCGTCCCCCTCACCCTGGTCAAGATAATATGCAGGTGGAGTTCCATCCAGACAGACTACATTTATACATAAAAAGTTCAGCAAATTAATAGTCTTTTTTAAATGTATTTTTATTATAATAAATTTAAAGAAAAAATGATATTTAGAACTTACGGGCTCCCTTGTCGTTTATGAGACGTGTGATTGAAACATTTGGAGTAGGGCCAGTCATGCAAGCTGAATTCATTTTTATGTTCATGCAAATGAACATAAAAACCAAACATACCAAAATTTTTGTTTGTCCCATTCTAAAAATCAAAAGAAAATATATCAGCTAGTAGTCAACGTAATAGTCTTTCAAAAATGTTATACTAGTAGTCTAGTAGATAAAACAAAAAGAAAAAAGTATTGTTATTTTACCTTTAGCTAATATTATGTGGATCCATTATAAATATGAACAAAATTTTAAAAATCAAATTCAAAAGAAAATAAAGAATATTCAGCAAGAGAACCAAAAAAGAATGTATGCAGCTTTGAGAAATTGAACACGCATAAATAACTATGAAAAATTATGTCAACTTCATGTAGATATATGATAAAAATAAGTGTATTACCTCTTTCCTTTCGTAGATACGCAAATGCAAGAAAACAACAATCTTGAAATTTAGATCAAAGAGTTATGCTTTTTTAGAGAGATAGAGAGAGTTGAGGAGGAATGATAGTAATGTGAAGAGAAGTGAATGAAGAAGGCAAGCTCTATATAGAGTGAGAATGTCAATGTCTATACTCTGTGAATTGAGCTAATTAATATAGCCAAGGCCTATCTTACTCCTAGAGAAGAATGAAGATTATAATTAACAACAATAATTGTATTTATTTTTTCCCTAACGTCAATGTTATGAGAAAAAATGTCACATGCTATGCTTGTATCAAGTAGATGAGGTGGGAACTTGCAGGGTGTGGTTGAGTGGAAGAGACTCATTCATTCCTAACCAAAGGTCAAGGGTTCAATCCTTGGCTTTAAAAATGGAGCAACCTTAAATCTCCAAGCCAGCTATCCCACCCACCCAAAAGGGTTCTATCCTTAGCTTTGGGAAGGAGCAGCTTTAAATCGACACGCAAAGGAGAGGTGCCTACAATAGGGGATTAGTCAAAAAAAAAAAAAAAAAGGGTCGTTTTTCAATTGTCAAAAATGGATAAATGAGCATAAAAAGTGGGGGAAAAAAAAAAAAGAGGTGGTCGTTTTTCAATTGTCAAAAATGGATAAATGAGCATAAAAAGTGGAATTAAAAAATGTCACATGCTATGATTGTATAGATGAGGTGGTACTTTTTCAATTATCAAAAATGGATAAATGAGCATAAAAAGTGGAAGTATGGATATTAACACATCAATCATAACTTCAAAAAATTAGTATGGCTATCCTCCAAAATTAAGTTTTCAATTGTCAAAAATAGATAAATGAGCATAAAAAATGTTTTATCGTTTCTGATATTATTCTTACTTGAATTTGAGAAAATAATTGTCCAATTATCCGTACAATGTACGTGTGATGTACGGATGAAATTTTTTATTATATCTTTAGATTTTAAAATTAAAGATGAAATTATAAACAATTCTAATATTTGAACGTGTACTAGAAAATTATGAGTTTGATTCTTGTCAACACTTTCTCGATCGAATATGTTGCACTACAAAATTTTTCTAGTGCGTTTTACCTATCCCGTGTAATTTGCTAGTTATTACACAAAAGTGAAAGTTTGTACCTATACACACATTCTAATAGTGGTTGTAAATTTTCCTTCTTTCTTAAAAAAAAAAAAAGTAAAATTCAATTATCTTTGATAATTAATGTAGCCAAGGCGAAAGGACCTAACTTTATCATAGAGAAGAATGAAGATTATATGAACAATTGATTTTATTATTTTTCCAAATATCAATGTTATGAGAAAAAAAAAAAAAAAAAGTGTCACATGTTATGCTTGTATTTAATGGGTGAGATGGGAGTTTGTCAATTGTCAAAAATGGATAATGAACATTCTCCAATGTTACAAACTTCGTCCCTAATATTTTATTAATAAAAAAATGAAATTTATAACGTCAATTATAGTTTATGGACAAAAAGCGAGTATGACCAATAATTATGGATGAATTACAATTAGACTATAACTTAATGATGAAAAGTTATAAGAACTGTTTACCAAAATGAAAAGGTGAAGAATTTTTCAGAAAGATAAAAAATTAGAGTGAAAAAATAGAAAATAACAAACTTGTTTACTAATTGAATTTATATCTCCAATTTAGTTTTCCACCTACCATCTTTCATTTATGTATGATTTTGGAGATTTCAAAATCAGTATTCTCCATTTGGTGAAATGGAAACTAGCGGGAGAACAGTGGCACAGTGCTATGTTGGTCTTTACCTTGATTCTTGAGCGAGTTCTGATCTTTACCTTTCTTCCCCATTCTTCTTTTTCCTCTTTCGTGTTTTTTACCTTTCTCCCCATACTTCTTTTTTCTCTTTCGTGTGTTTTACCTTTCTCCCCATACTTCTTTTCTTCTTTGGTGTTTTTTACCTTTCTTCCCCATTCTTCTTTCTTCCTTTCGTTCTTTTTACCTTTCTTCCCCATTCTTCTTCCTGTTACCTTTCAACACTAGGGTGTGTTTGGTTTGCACATGGGAATCGAAATTGGAATGATCGAGTATCAAATACTTGGTATTGGTAATGAGTTTTGGTGAAAGTATTAAACATGTTTGGTGGTAGGGTGGAATGAGAATGGTTACTAATAGTAGTGCTTGAGAATGGATAAGGGAATGAAACCCTTATTTTATTTGAGTATGAATTTTTCAATTGATGGAGTATTCGAAAAACTTATCAACCAAATAATAACAATCACTTTCATACACATACTCTATTACAATGCAGTATCTATTCATAGGCTCGATCCCACAACCTTTTTTATAAGGGAACAACTTGGCGTCATTGGACTACAAGGTCTTTAACATTATTATTATTATTATTATTATTATTATCTTTGTCATAGAAATGTACAAATGTTATATGGGATGATTGTATTTAATAAAATGAGAAATTTAAAGAAATGAAAAACTGGAGGAATAGAGAAATGGAAAATTGAAAAAAATGGAGAAGAAAAATTGAAAAAATGAAAAAAATAGAAAAATGAAGTAAACGAGCACGTAATTTTTTCATCATCATTTGATTTTATTATTTTCCTAAACATCAATGTCATGAGAAAAATGCCACATGTTGTGCTTGTATTTAGTAGGCGAGGTGAGTGTTTGTCAATTGTCAAAAATGGCTAAATGAGCATACAAAAAGGGTGTAAGGATATTAACGCATCTTTGCAAAAATAAAAAATATTAACACATCAATCATAACTTCAAAATTAGTAAGTCCATCCTCCAAAAAATAAAGTTTATAATTATATTTTTCTTGTTGCAATCTCACTCAATTTGGTCTTCAGGTTTTTGACTTGGTAACCACATAGTTATAATAAATTTGACTTCTATTAAGAACAGTTTATTAGTTGTTTGAATCGGCGAAGTTTACTTAGTATACGTACACATATTCTCGAGTAAGGGCTACAAATATCTATCTTCACTCATTTAGTGAGGATGTCTATGTTTATACTTCTATGAATTGATCGAGCTATAAGTCTCTATCAGTTAGGACCAAATTCACAAATTTAATGCATATACTATATCTAAGAAACATTGTTATGGAAGAATGGAATATTTAATAATTTTCTTTTATTTCAATTCATTTATTAGCCATTTTGCTAAAAAGATTTATGGAAGTATATCTTTCTAAATTAGGCTTATTACCCTTTATATGAGTTATAAGTAACTATTTGTGTCAAACCTAAACACCATTTTAAATTTGCTTCCAAATGAGCCAAATCAACATTTATTTGGTATAGGCTTGTTCAAAGTTCAAAATTGCCAATAGTTATTATGTAACACTAGTACTTTCACACGTGTGTCACACAGAATGAATTTGTTATAATATTTTAAGAATATTTGAATCGATATACAATTATATAAATTATAAAAATGAATATTATATAGTGCAATTGATGAAATGAGTTGGATCGATTATGTTTTCTGATATTATTCTTACTTGAATTTGAGCAAAATAATTGTCAAATTACCCGTACGATGCATGTGCTATGAATGGATGAAATTTTTTATTATATATTTAGATAATAAAATTAAAGATGAAATTATAAATAATTCTAATATTTGAACGTGTACAATTATTTGAGTGCAAAAGTATCACTCAATTAATTAAATAATATATGATTCGTTTGTCTACAATTATCTTAAAAGAACCGATATGCAATAACATTTATGTAATTATATTATTACTAAAATAAATATGGGAAAAATGAGAAATAATTTAATTGTAATTATTATAAAAATAAATACAAAGACTCATGTTTAGCTTAATTATCATAATAATTATTAGACAATTATACTAATATCGTGCAATTATACTTTTCACCATGTCTCATTTACTTTTTTCCTCATCATCTATATCTGAATGAATTAATTGTAATTATTAGAAAAAAATCACTCATATTTAATTATAATTATACTAATATCGATGTAATTATTATCTTAATTAATGTAATAATTATTAGTTAATTATACTAATATCTATGAATTTAATTTCTTAATTATCATAATAATTATTAGATAAATATACTGTTTTAAAAAATTAGATAAATATACTAGTATTGTGCAATTATACTATTATTATACTTTAAGTATAAAAATCTACTATACTAGTAAGAGCCAAAAGAATGTAGGCCTATAATAGGTAGGAAAAATGTCTGTAAAATTAGTAAATCAAATGAATGGTATAAGAGCCAAAAGAATGTAGGCCTATAATAGGTAGGAAAAATGTCTGTAAAATTAGTAAATCAAATGAATGGTTCATATTGTTTAGATTTTAATTTTTCATTGAGATTTCCAAATTTATCCTTATATGATTTCAATAAGAAAAGTCTTAGGTTCGAATTCCATCATAATCAAAACTTCCTTAAAATTTATATTCTCGGTTAACTTACTCATCGATTTTAACAAGAAAGGTCTTATTGGCCACTATATTTTTGTATTAGTATCAGCAAAAAATACACCTTCACCTCTTGAGGACATTACTAAGGAGCTAGAAAGAAGTATAGACGATTGCTATAATAAGACAATCGCGTGCAGAGTATTTGCATTTGGCTACATACATGTTTCAAGATAAACCAGAACTTTCAAAAAATTGTAGGTATATCATATTGGAATTGTGAATTACTTAAAAAAGATTGTATGTGAAGAAATTATTTAGTGCCACCAAATTCTATTTGATCGATGTAAGTTGCTATGTCTAATTAATTTTTGGACTAAATTAAAAATCTATAACACATGTATTATAGAGTAGTAGTGGCTATATATGAGTATGATACACTCCTTCATGCACATAAAAATATTTTCAAAAAAATAAAATAAAAATTGTTGTTGATAAAACTATCATCTTTATGATTTTTATATGTCCTATCATATATTCAACCTAAAGTAAGCGCTTTTTTTTCCTACAAATATAAATCCACAAACATTTACTCTGATCTTGATGTGTATTACAATAAGATGCTCTATGATATTCATTCAATGAATGATATTTCATATTTTGTCATTAACAACATT